CTAGTACAGAGATAGCATCTTGTTAATTTTTGCACCTACTATATTAAGTACAAATTAGGCGCTTAGTACAATTTTGTTAAATGAATAAATAAACGAATGCTAAAACACTCAAGATCATTAAGACAATTATGAAAGTGGTTCAAAAGAAATATATGAATTTATTCAAAATTATTAAGAAAAAATTTGTTTTTGAAATCGTTTGTTCTGATATACTATAGCCCCTTGCATTCGTTTTCATTCACCTACTCATGAATATTTACACTGCTGTCAAAGCAATAAGAAAAATGAAGAAACAACATCATTCTCCTTAAAATGAAATGTCGGATTTAACAATTCTAATACTGCCATCATCTAATAATATTTTGACACCGGCAAGCACTGGTTTAGTGTGCACTCTATTTTATTAATGCTGTTAACCTTTGGGCAAGCAAAGGATAACAGCCTTTTTCTGAGATTTATAAAAACCCAAGAATTCATGGAAGCCTATAAATTTATGTGTTTGTTATAAAGTCAATAACCAATTTAACAAAACTAAAATAGATGCCTATATTTTTCAATCATGAATGTAATTTTTCAAAATTGATTAAAATAATACCCTCAAATAGTTCAGTACCTTCAGAGTTAAGATAAATTTCCTAATCAAAAAAAGAATTCATAATGGTTATTATATGCCAATACTAAGATAACTAATCAGGTCACTACCCTAATTGTGAATAGTTTCTAAATAAAATTATTTTGGTAATGCAACATACTATATATATTACTAAAGAAAAATAATACACAAATATAAAATTTATCTTAATAAATTATTTTAATCCTTATAAGAGAAATTCTGATATTGAATATTACCATCAAATTTTATTAAACTAATTATAAAAATCTAACATACCACTTGAACATTTTTAAAGTATAAACATTTTTAGCCTCATGCCATGGATTCATAAATTTTTCCTCAGAGGAGTAAAGGCACAATACCCGTGAGGGGAGAATATGTCTATGTACCCCTAAACTAAACTATGCCCAGGAATACAAATAAAACACAATTTTAAAAATCTAAGTATTACACTTTATAATGCTTCACAAATTATAACCATGCCACCAATTTGAGATGCAGATGCCTGAATTATAAAGTCGAGAGCTTTTGTAGTTTTTAGATCATACTAATTGGCCAAAGGATTTGCTGAGGATGTCCATTAAAGGGGAAGCCTTGTTATACTGTGACTTAACTGCATTAAAAGAAAACAACTTTTCTTTTTCCACCACCATCTGATCATGTAAAAGCCTTGGTTCACTCTTCTGCCCCTCAACTGCTTTGGTTTAATGCACAGAAAGTCTTCTTTTTAACTACTACACGATTAAGTATGTCCTTATAGAATGATCAGCAGCATCTGGAAAAGGTGGAAGTGAAAAAAATCCTCACTGGGAAAGTTAGCTTAATGCTTGCCCTTCAGAGTGGCCCATTATCAACATTTCATAGTGGGTTTCTTTATTTTCAGGTCCCTGAGGTATGTGCAATAAATTATGACTTAAACTAAACAAGTCACACTTGGCTCCAAAATGAAATTTTCCTACCTCTACTTTCTAGTCCCCAAGGTGGGAAGAGGAAATCCTGGTCACAGCCAAAGAAGTCATATTTTTGGCTCTAGCATACTTTTTCCTGCTTCTCTAAAAGCCAAACTTTGCAATTGAGACTACAAAAGTCTTAAGTTAGTATTTTAAACTGCATTTTAATTTTTACTTCCATAATCTGTGCCTCAAATTAAAAAAAAAAATTAGTATCATAAAATTAATGTCATTGCCTTCTTTTTCCCCACTCAAATGACTTTTCTAACTCAGACACTGATCTTAACCTTTTAAAATAATTCAGTGCTTGCTTTGGCAGCACATATACTAAAATTGGAACAATACAGAGAAGATTAGCACAGCCCCTGTGCAAGGATGACATGTAAAATAAGATTCAAGTGAAACAATAGAGAAAATAATGCAGAAATAGATTGTTTCATTTCCATAAGATAAAATATTTAAGGTTTGCATTTGTAAATAACTTCTACTTATTCTTGCATGATCGACTGAGTATTAATGTAAAAGAAAACAATAACGTCTAATTTGTGGTTCCAGTAATTTGAAGCACTATGTTAGTTTTGGAAAAGCCATTTATGGAAATCACTTAGCTCATCATCTCATTTTACAGAAGACAAGAATACGGCAGACAAACCCTAAGGTGACTCCGGAGAGGTGTGTCTTCTATAATACTCTCACCCTGAGTGACAGCAGAAACTGTGACTTGCTTCTAGCCAATAGAATATGGCAAGGGTGATGGATAGTCACTCCCTTGGTTAGGTTATATTATAAGGCAAAGGTACAGAGAAGTTATTCTTGTGACTCCAGTTTAGTAGACTGGAGCTAGAGAATAGTTTGTTGGCCTTGAAGAAATAACCTGCCATGCTGTGAAAGGGTCTGTGAGAAGGCCCTATGGCAAGGAACACTGAGTAGCCTCTAGGAGAAGAGATGACTTGGGATGGTGAACACACAGTATAATATACAGATAATGTATTATAAAATTGTACATTTGAAACATATATAATTTTATTAACCAATGTCACCCTAATAAATTCAATAAATAAATAAATAAACAAACAAACAAATTTGCTCTGGCCAGTGTGGCTCGGTTGGGCAATGTCCCGGGAACCGAAAGGTTGCTGGTTCGATTCCCAATTGGGGCACGTGCCTGAGTTGCAGGCTTGATCCCCGGTAGGGGGTGTGCAAGAGGCAGCCCATCCATGTTACGCTCTCACATCAATGTTTCTCTCTCCCTTTCTCTCTAAAAATCAATAAAACCTTTATAAATAAATAAACAAACAAATAAATTTAAGAGCTAAGACTAAATGAAACTCTGTGAAGAAAACATTAGGGGTAAATCTGCCTGACCTTGGACTTGGCAATGGTTTTCTAAATATGACACCAAAAGCATAAACGACAAAAAAATAAAGTGAACTTCATTAAAATTTCAGGCTTTGGTTTGTCTTTTATATCCCATAGTAATATACAAATAAAATTTTTAAATAACTTGTTTGGTCATTGATGAACTTTAAGAAATCATCCATAATGATGTTCTGATTTATCTCAGATAGTAATATCTCAGATATTCAGATATTTCAGGTACTGAGTGCTATATTCTGGTCATTTCCAAATGATAACAGACCTTTTTAATTAGAAAAATTACATACCTACATGGTTAAAGTTTATATAACATCAGTCTTTTAGATGGCTGCCTTACAAATACCCTTTAGTTATGAAAAAATACCAGGGCTCCTTTTTGAAGTCTTAATTCTAAATCCTTTGTCATGTATGGTGGAGAATTACCACCTCCTCCCTTCTCCCCTTGAGGACTTGCAGAAATTTTGAGAAGGTCCAGAGGTTAGGGCAGAGAAGGAACTAACCAGAAAAATACTGCTTATTACTGTTAATATTATATAATTCACAGAGTCTAGTAAAATATTAACAATAAAGGAGATAACTGCCCGGAGAAAAAAATGCCTACTTTGGTATGAGACCCTAACAGGTTGTGCCCTTGGAGGAGGGATATGAATTACACTTAATGCAGTTAGCTCAGTGGTCAGAAACCTCAAATCTTGGTCTCAGATGGCTAGCATCTTCATATGCCTGTAGGAAGTAAGCAGAAATCCTCCTTGATAGAGGATAACATCATCTTTGGCTTCAAATTATTGCTGCAAATAATTTTTCAAATATAATGTTTAGCAAACAATCAGTGATAATGAAGCAAAACCCCTGTTTCTGGCCAAGACCAGAATAATTGGTTTAGGGATATCCCTTCCACTATAAGTGACTGTAAAACTGGTCACAATAGATAAAGCAATTGCTTTCAGGGAGTAGACACCAGTCAATATATGACTAATCTCAGAGATAAGGGAAATCCATTAGGTGAACTCCATGATTCTCAGCTCTCTTCCTGAGTAAAATTTCCTGACAACAGCACAGAACACTGAAGAACAGGCAGAATACTGTGGTCCTGCTGAGCTGAAGTGGAAGAGATAAGAATTTGGAGCAGCTAAAATCACTAAAATCTGCAGGGCGGGGCATGGCATTGGAAAGAAGAGAGCTACATAGAAAAAGGGCCCCACAACTATGGGGGACCCGTTAGTCTGTGGCTAACAGCTTCATAGAACATAACCTGCTAGATTCTACCTCAACAGTTTCTGATTCAGTAGGCCTGGATGGAGCCTAAGAATATGTATTTCTATCAAGTTCCTAGGTGATACTGATGTTCCTGACCTGGAACCACACTCTGAAAATTGCTCTTGTTGAACAAGGCAGTGTAAGTTAAAAATAAAATAGGCGTGCTCTCCTTCTTGGAGCACGCCCAAGCCTTTCCCTTCCTTCTTGGAGCACACTCGAGCTTTCCCTTCCCCATCATCTTCCCCCCAGACTGGTTACCTTTGCCTTTTTCTCTCCTAAATGCCAAGGGCCCTTCATTTGCTTCTGTAAGTTGGTTTTTGAGCCTATGCAGCCAAGCTGGCTCACTTCTATTACCACTGTAACTTTCTAAGTAAACTTTCTCTTATAATTTGAACAAATGAATCAATAAATGAATAAATAAGTAAATAAGTAAAATAAACCTGTATCTACTAAACCTTTCTCACTCATTGAGTCACTATAGCAGGGGTGGGGAACATCCGGCCCACAGGCCACATACAGCCCACAAAATCATTTGGTCTGGCCCTGCCAAGGCAACCACAGGCGGGACTCGAAATACAATAAATCTAGAATCTTTTTTCATGGTTAATTTTTAAGTTGATAATTTTGTATGGCCAGCGAATGATGTTATAAATATCCAAATAGCCTTTGGCAGAAAAAAGGTTCCCCACCCCTGCACTATAGAAATAAAATAAAATGTCTGAAGATACAAGAAAAAGTGTAATTAACTTCATACAAAATCAACAACATCTATGATAAAATTTCTTAAGACTTTGAAGGCCTACCTGCAGATCTTTCACATTTGGAAAAGGAATTCCTATTGTTATGACAGCACGGGCATTGTCATCTGAGAAATCCAGACCCTCACTCACTTTACCACGACAAACTGCTACCAGGAGGGCTCCATCTTAAGCAACAGAAAATAAGCATTTTTTAAAGTACACTAAAAATTCCCAGAAATTGCTAATTCTTGTCATTTTGAAAAGCCCTGATTAAGTAATCATAGTAGCAAACTTAAAAAATCAAAATTAAATACTATTATGAGATAAAGTTTTAAAAGTTCAATATCTTTAAGTGAGGAAACCAAAATTATAAGATACACAAATAATGTTCTAACAGCACCAACTTCTTACTTTATAGTAAAAAATATTTTTTCATTGACCATCCAACATTTTCCAATTACCTTTCTCTCCTTTGCACTTGATTGCATCATAGTACACCTGTAGTAATTCATCAAAATCAATTTTTTCTCCTCCCTGTGGTTCTACAATGACTGTCTTCACCAACTCCAGATTATGCCATAAACCAGTGGAGAGCCAACGTTCTTTTAACTTTTCTAATAACTAAAAAGGAGGAGGGAAATGAGTTTTTGTGTGTCCAACTGAACAAACTTACCTTGATTTGTTTAAAGCCAATGTGGCTACAACATGACTATGGCAAGCATATTAACATTTTTGTGCATTACATTTCTCATCCATAAAATGAGGAAAACAATAATATGTCATAGGCTTATGATTGGGTTAAATTCATTAACCGATTTAGATAGCTTTGAGTGATGCCTGGCACATATAAGAGCACCATAAATGTTAACTGCTGCTGCTACTGTTACCATTACTATTACTACTAACACTACTGCTGCTGCTACTACTTCTATTATTGCTCTCTTGGGAATTTCAAAAGCAGAAAAAAATGACTTCTGTCAAAGTTGACAAGTTTTAAGTTAACTCTTTAAACCTAAGGTGAAGTTTTTTAATATTCTTAACTAAAGATTCTTTAAATGAAAATTCTTCAAGATCATTTTACTTAACCGATAGGCAGCTAAGCCTATATATCAAGTAAGTATATAAACAGACACTCAGGTACCCAACAAGTAGAAAATATACTGACAAATAGAACATTTACACAAAATAACCAAGTGCTAGATTACAAAAGGATTTTCAACAAATTTCAAAGAATCTTTATCAGATTAACCACTTATTCTAACAACAATGCAACTCTGATTAAGTCAATAATAAAAAGTTAGTAGGGGGGAAAATACCAGCCCAACACTAAAGATTATAATCTTAAAGAAAATATGGGTTATTTGTCAATTTTATCTCAATAAAGCTAAGGAAAAATAAAAAGAGAGAGCGTATGGTCTAGACAGGAAAATAGGATTCATGAAATATTTCAATATAAATGATAAGAAAAGCACCCTCAATTCCAAACATGTGGGATAAAGGCAATACTTAGAAACATTAATAGCTCGAAATATATTCATTTTAAAAATCTGAAACTATGCCCAGTGGGTGTAGCTCAGCAGTTGAGCACGGACCTAGGATCCAGGAGACTGTGGTTCGATTCCCAGTCAGGGCACATTGAGCCCGGGTTGCTGGCTCAATCCCCAGCAGGGGGCGTGCAGGACACAGCCGATCAATGATGACTCTCTTATCACTGATATTTCTATCTCCCTCTCTCCCTTTCTCTGAAATCAATAAAGATACATTAAAAAATAAATCTGAAACTAGTGAATTAAGCATTTTTTAAAAGGCTAAAGAATTAAAACAGCAAATGCAAAGAATGTAGAAGTAAATAATAAACATGGCTGAAATAAATGAGACAAAAGCCAGTAGAAGAGATTATTATGTTGTAAGTTGAACTGTCTCACCCACTTGTTCTATGGAGAGTTCTATATAATGTAGACCAGTTAGTATAACGTAGACAAGCACCAAGAAATTACCCCTAATTCTCTAGAGAAAAACTAATTTTTATAAAATCATTTATTTCCTCAGAATTTTATCCTCATCTATTTTCAGAAATAAATACATAATATATAATAAGTTAAAAGAGATCCCACAGAGCTGCCTGGCCCCTATGTGAGGGCACAGCAAAAAGGCACTGGGTATGTCAGGAAAGAGGTCCTCACCCTGCTGGCACCCTGATCTCAAGACTTCCATACTCCAGAATTGTGAGAAATAAATTTCCGTTGTTTATAAGCTACCACGTCTGTAGTATTTTGCTATAGCAGCTGGAACAAACTTAAAAAATCACTAATTGGTAAAATTGTTCATTACATATTATAGTACTGTGATCAGAGCACCCTGATCAATAAAAATAAAGCAGGGAACATCACAGAAAAGGTCCCTGCCTTCATGGCACTTACAACATAATGATAGGATATTACATTCCTAAATATGTAGAATAAATATGGCCTGAAACTCCAAAATTCGTATCTATAGCCCAGATCGCTCCTCTGAACACTATACCATAAATCCAATGGCCTAGTCAAATTCACCAGTTAGGTATCTCAGAGGCACCTGAGATGTTTTATACAAGACCAAATTTATCATATTCCAATGTTTGTTACCTCAGTAAATAACACCACCATTCACTGAATTGCCTTTGCTAAAACAGAGTCATCCTTAACAGTTCTCGTTCTCTGTCACTGCTCATGTTCAATCTATCATCAAACCCTGTTAATTTTTGCCTGCTTCTAAATATCTCTCCAGCCTGGCCAGCATGGCACAGTGGTTGAGCATCAACCTGTGATCTGGGCGATCGAGGTTCCATTCCCAGTCAGGGCACAAGCCACAGTTGCGGGCTTGATCCCCAGTGGGGGCGTGCAGGAGGCAGCCAATCTATGATTCTCTCTCATCATCGATGTTTCTCTCTTTCCCCCTTCCTCTCTCTGAAATCACTGGAGACATATTTATAAATAAACAAACAAACAAACAAACAAATAAATAATAATCTCTTAAAGGTCTACTCCAATAGTTTCCTAAACGGATTTCTTGGGTCTTGTCTATCACTCAGCTCATTTCAGATAGAGCAATATTTTCAAAATATGAATCTTACTAAATCATGTATTCCACTTTAAAAACTCAATAGGGGACCATCAACAGACCCCTTGTCCCCAATAGAAACACTAATTCAAAGACAACAAACAGACCAATTAATTTTTTTATTTTCAGAGTGAGTGGAAGAGAGAGAGGTGAGGGGGAAAGAGAGAGAGGAGAGAGAGAGAGAGAAGCATCGATGTGACAGTGACATATCAACTGGTTGCCCCAGGGTGGGGATTGGACCTGCAACCAGGTATGTGCCCTTGACCAGGAATTGAACCCACAATCCTTTGAATTTGGATTGGTAAACTCAGAGATTTTTTTAGTCAGATCTCACAAATTAAGATATACTTTGGAATGTTTATGCCTTATCTGGTTATTGTCATTTTACTTTTTCAAACTTCTTAAAACCAGTATCTCACTAGGGAGGCAGTAAGTTAGAATGCAACCTAGTGGGGAAATCCTGCATTTGCTCAATGTCTATAGCTTTTACACAGTTCCAGATGTTCAGTACATTAATAATGCACTAACTCAAAGCCTCTTTTTGAAACTTTAGAAAGTGCAAATTGCATTAAAACCTCTTTGCCCTCATTAATGGTATTGTTACAATCCCAGTCCTCTGGAAAATGTTTTTTGGCATGTGTTTAACTTTATAATATTGCCATTTACTCACTTTAATAGCTAGTACTCAAGTCTTAATGCTTTTAATAGGCCTGCCTAAACAGACTACCATCTTTTGTAATCTTTTTCACATAATTTACTTATACGTAAAGCCTGTCATATTTTTCCATCTGAAGATGATTCTTCACTATTCATTTCAATATTTAAGAATGTTTACTTTATTTCATTCAGTTATAATGTATAGGAATAAAATATAGTTCCTTATAAATAATAATAAAAATTGAAAATAAAGTAGTAGTCATAACTTTTTAAATTACAGTAAAAATGAATCAATCTTTAATTCTTGCTGTATTCAAATATCTGTATTCAAACATAAAATATGAGAAAACCAAAAGTATGAATTTTTATTGAAACAATTTCCTATACTCTAGCTATTTGGTGATATCTGATTCAGCATCTTCACCTCAAGAGGCTCAGTTATATTTCAGGATCAAACTTTCAACAAATTTGGATGCAGTCAGTAATGCACTAGGAAGAACAATATGGAGGAATATTGTCCTAAAGTGAAAGTAAGATTCCTTTTAGTTGCAACCTAAATAAAAATGAAAGGTCCTACAGTCCTCTCTTATAAGGAAAATCCCTTGCATAATTTTGTTAAAAGAATGAGGGCTCTGAAAATGTTAGAGCTGCATTACTGATACTGATATGTTTGTTTACAGTCATTTATTGATACGTTATGATAAAAATATACAATGATATTTATAATTTTAAAAATTTCAAATAACATAGAATTTCAGAAATAACTCATACAGTTCCTCATGATAATCTACTTTGTTGAAATCTCCTGGATAGAAAACAATAAGAACCCAATAGCTATTTATGTATGGAACATATTCTTGACTCTTTAAAACATAAATTCCAAATTTCTTTTTATTGATCAACATAGTTGGATTCATCAGTGACTGAAGAAAACATTTAGTTAAAATGCATACATTTGACCAGTTTTGCTAGGAAGCTTATCATGGTAATTCCACATGATTTTCTAAAGGCAAAAGAAACAATAAATATTCCCCTACCTTGTAAGATGGCAAGAAACACAAAATTCCTTGGCTCACAGTCTGGCACACAGATAACAAAAGTGCTCCTACTTCATCCTGGAACTCAAATGTTTCTGTGTGCTGGAAGGTAGCACAGAGATTCCGACCCTTGGGGCCTGACCCAATGGTGCCAACCCAAACCTAAAATATAAATATATCAGTAGAGTTATGCCTAAACTAGGTAGGCAAATTAGCATTTAGTTGGGAGCCTTAATTACATACATGTCAAAAGAAGATCAAACAACAAGTTTAGAGAAAATTTATTTTTAAATTCCCTTTATATAACTAAATATAGATTTAATTTATAAAAGTTTTACTTTTAGGCAGATCACTGAATTCTCCTAGGATGAAAGCAAAAAGGGTTTCACTTATTATTCTCTAAATGGCTTTGCACAATTAAGCATATAATGAAATTTTGTTGGATGATGTGAACAAATGAAATGGATAGAAACAGTTCCAAAATATTAGAGGTAAGGGCTGATACAACCTACTATAAGCAATTTTCTAAGATTCAACTATGACATAAACTACTCTTTCACAAATTCACTGATGTTCAAAGATCTATAGTCATAAAAAAAAAAAAAAATCAAACCCACTAAATTTTACAGTTCTGTGCAATTCCTCTAACTCACACAGATCTAGCCTCAGTGTAGTTAATCTAAGAGAAAGAATAAACTTTATTAGTAATCTACAGACAATATAAAAACACTTAAGATTGCTGAAAAATAGAATTGTACTATATTTTGAAATGATATATGAGATTGAAGTACATTTTGCAGGATGACATCTGACGGACATCATATTAACCAACTACTACTTAAATGATCAACTAGTAATATGAAAAACTGACGTTATGTTTCCTGATATAATGTAATGAAAAGTAACAATACCACCTATGTAGTATTCTTACCAAACTGTTTAATCTGAATCTTATCATGAGGAAACAATCAGATAAATACAGATTATAAGGCATTCCTCAAGAAAACTGGTGATTTGAATTCTTTATAAAATGTCAGAAAGACAGAAAAAAAAGGGCAAGAAAACTGTTTTTAAAGACTAAAGAGACATGAAAACCAAATGCAATATATAACACTTGTTTGTGTGCTGGATCAAGAATAAAAATATAAGTAGGTTAAAAACCACTTTGAGAGTAGCTGAAGAAATACAAATATTGACTCTATTGTACCAATATTAAATTTAAGTATTAAATGATCGTGTTATTATAATTATGTAGAATTATGTACTTGTTCTTGGGAGAGACATGTTAAACTAATTAATGGCAAAGTGTCATGATGTTCACAAATTATTTTTTAATAGTTTACCCAAAAATGTGCCATATAAGTATTACATACATATTACATATATATTGCATGCAAACTTTAACATTTAGCAATATTCCTCTTCTCTTTCTCTGTTTATAATTTTTAAAATAAAAATCTGGGACAGCCTGACCAGTGTGACTCAGTAGTTGAGGGTCAACCCAGGAACCAGGAGGTAACTGTTTGATTTCCAGTCAGGGCACATGCCCAGGGTTGCGAGCTCAAGCTCCAGTAGGGGGCATGCAGGAGGCAGTTCATCAGTGATGTTTTCTCTCTCTATTCCTCTCCCTTCCTCTCTCTCTCTAAAAATCAATAAAAACATACTTTTTAAAAAAAATTACTATTCTCATTTAAAATAAAAATCTGGGGGAATCAACAAATGAAAGGACAAACAAAATATGGTATATACATGCAATGAAATATCATTCATCCTTAAAAAGGAAGACTATGATTTTGTTACAATATGGATAAACCTTGAAAAACATCATGCTAAGTAAAATAAGCTAATCACAAAAAGAAAAATATCTTATTATTCCACTTACATGAGGTATCTAGATTATAAAGTCATAAAAACATAAAGCAGAATGGCAGTAACCAGGGGCTGGGAGGAGGGGGAATTGGAGAATTGTTTAAAAGGAAGAGAATTTCAGTTTTGTGAGAGGAAAAAGTTCTAGAGATTGGTTGTACAACCATGTGAATATACTAAATGAGACTGAACTGTACACTTAAAAATGGTTAAGATAGTATTTTACATTATGTATTTTACCCAATTAAAAGAAAAAATAAGTTTTTTAAAAGTTAAGGTAAAATATTATATAGTATACCAGAATTCAGCCGAACTAGGCATTATTATAATTATAATTCAGTGACATTACAGGTAAAATGAGCTTCTTTGCACTAGACTGAGAACAGAGAGCTTATGTTATTATAGCCTCATATAAGCTGAATTTACTAACTTCCCATATTTATTTGAGCCTTTAAAGACAGCAACTTTAAAATGTAGAACATATATTTTTCCTTCACTATTGTTTATAGCACTGTTTGTACAACAGAAGTACTATGGCATTTTGGAAAGCACAATTCTTAGTTATATAGGATCTCATCATTCAGGTTCACAACTACTAAATGCCAGTAGTACCTCCCAACTAACTGTGAGAAACAAAAATGTCCCCACAAGTACACCTTGGCTGAAAACTGTATCTTCATAAAAAATCAGTGTTAGGCACAGAGGTGGTGTTAAACATGTAGCTAACTGCTTTAAATTACTTCATAAAAAGAGACAGGGAACAGATCAACAAATGACAAAACATTCCTAGGAAAATTAAAGTAACATTTGTATATTATTGCTATAAAAAATTAAAATCTTAAGTCACAGTACTCTTAAGAGTACTTCTAATTTATTTCAGATACTTAAACATCTACTAAACACTTGCTAATCCTAGGTATTAGTCTTGCTGCAGTGGAAGAATGTGGAATAAAAAGAAGAGTAAGTATACACCACAGTCTAAGGGAAAGAGAAACACATAAACAAATAATTAAACAACAGGAACTATGGTAAAGAAGTTGAATTCTGTTTTGGTTTAATTTTCATTAAAAAACACTAAAACTTATTTAAATGAGGAAATTGCAATACAGTCTTTGGATCCAAAGTATATATTTTTACTCACTAGGTTGAAGGAATGCATTTATTAGTATTTCCTTTTTGTTGACACTATCAAGTACTTGACAGATTTTCTTTTATTCTAAAACTGAAATGTTGAATTTCCTATCAGGATCTATTTGCTAGTACTTAGGTACCTTCCAGTTTGCTTATGGAGAATTATATTGAGGTAAAAAGACTGAAAGCCTTCAAAAAAATATCCTAACCTGTGAGTTGTTAATGACATGATTAGCTTCCAGTTGGATAGTAAATGTAATACCAAGTTCTGATGAAAAGGATTTCATTGGGGATAATGTCCCAGATGTCAAAACAATCGTCCACACTTTGCCATTAATATCTGAAAAGGCCTAGAAGGAAACAACATTAGATATATATAAAATCATCTTTAAAAGAATCAGACACATTTATTTAATTGTTTGTATTGAGTAAGAAGACAGAATTTTCATATATAACAATCAGCTTACCACCGCTGGATTTAAGCACCAAAAGTTTAGCACATGAACTGCAGTTTTCTGTCGTGAACGTTTCTTATTTTTTGGTGGAGCAAAGAACCCATTTTTATCTGAAATATCTGGGTGATTTATCCAAGAATAAGTCTGTTGAAGAGCAACTTTATAATCATCTGCAAACCTAGATGAAAGTAAAATGGTAATTAAATGGCAAAATTTTATAAAACATAATGTCCCAGCCACATACAACATAAAAATTGATTACATTAAAACTAAATTGAGAGTCATTAAGTCTTAGAAACAACACCTCTTATAGAGATTAGACATCATCCAACCATCCACCCTTTACCACTTCCCCTCCCTATGTTCAAACACTACATAAATCACAGCAGAGCCAGAATTCAAATCCAGACCTCCTAACTCCTAGTGCAGAGCTCTTTGTACTCTATGTTACAGCATTAACAACAAAATAGATAGCAGGATCACTGCTAAAGAAACTAAAAAGTCGTTTATACTTTTTTTTTATTGAATGAGAAAATAGAAAAAACAATTTTTACTGAAAGTTTAAAAAGTTCAGGAGACTTATAAAAACTTTAAATCCCTTTAAAATTTGAGTCTCGGTATTCATCTATTTTTAACAAAGGCATTGAACCAGATGACCTCTGTAATCCCATCATTTTATAATTTCTTTCAATAAGAGGCTATAAACACATAGGCTTAAAAAAAATAAAATGTGGTGGTATTCTCTACCAGTCCTCATAATATTGACAGTTAATTTTGCCCTTGGAGAGATAAGGTCTCAAAGTTCAAGCCAGGAATCCTATAATTTGTGGAATTAAAAAATATATATATATATATTTTTTTACTGATTTCAGAGAGAGGAAGGGAGAGGGAGAGAGAGATAGAAACATTGATGATGAGAGAGTCATTGATCAGCTGCCTCCTGCATGTCCCCGACTGGGGATCAAGCCCGCAACCCGGGCACATGCCCTGACCGGGAATCGAACCTCGATCTCCTGGATCCTAGGTCGATGCTCAACCACTGAGCCATGCCCAGCCAGGCAAGAGAATTTTATAAAAATATTGAGAGCTCAAAACCATAAAACCCTTAAAAGAAAATATAGGAGAAAATCTTCATGATATCAGATTTAGCCATGTTTCTAGGATATACCAAAGGCACAAGTAAATAAATTGACTTTAAATAAATAAATTGAACTTCAAAAACTGAAAACCTTTGTATATTAAAGGGCACTATCAAGAGAGTGAGAAGACACCTATAGAATGGAAGACAATACTTGTAAAGCACATATCTGATACAGGATCAACATGCAGGATCTATACGTAACTCCTACAGCCATGGCCGGGTCGCACTGTTGGTTAGAACATCAATCCGTACACCAAAAGATTGCAGGCTTGATTCTGGGCCAGGGCACATACCTAGGTTTCAGGTTCAGTTCCCAATCGTGGTGGGTATGGGAGGCAACTGATTGATGTTTCTCTCTCACATCGAGGAAACTGATGGATGTTTCTCTCTCACATCGATGTTTTTCTCTCTCTCCCTTCCCCTCTCTCTAAAAATCAGTGGAAACATGTCCTTGGGTGAGAATTACAAAAGATAAATAATAAATAAATGAACAAATAAATAAATAACTCTTACAACTCAACAACAACAAAAAAACCAATTCAAAAGTGAACAAAGGATTTTAATAGATATTTCCACAATAAATGGACAATAAGCACATGATAAGATCCTCAACATCTCTAGACATTAGGAAAATATAAGCCAAAACAACAGGTGATGATACCACTATACCCATTAGAATGGCTACTGTCAAAAACAACAACAATAAAACAGAAAAGAACAAGTGTTGGCAAGGATGTGGAGAAATTGGAACTCTTGTGCATAACTATGAAAATCTAAAATGTGCAGCTGCTGTGAAAAACAGTTATGTTGGTTCCTCAAAAACTTAAATACAGAATCACCATATGATCCTGCAATTCCACTGCTAGGTGTGAAACCAGAAGTGAAAGCAAGGGCTCAGTACGATACTTGTACATAAATGTTCATTGCAGCATTATTCACAGTTGGCTAAAGGTGCACACAATCCAAATGGATGTCGACACAGGAATGAATAAACAAAATGTGGTGTAAATATATATACAATAGAATATTATTCAGCCATTAAAAAGAATAATATTCTGATATATGGTACAACATAGGTGAACCCTGAAAAGTGAAAAGGCCAGACACAAAAGAACAAATATATATGATTCCACTTATATGAGATACCAAAAAAGGGCAAGTCCATAGGAATGAAAGTAGAATAGAATAGAGGCCGTGAAGAGGAAGAAATTGGAGATATCTGGGAGATATTGTTTTATGGGTAGAGTTCCTATTTGGGATGATGAAAAAGTTCTGGAAATGGTTTGTGGTGATGATTGCACAACAATGTGAATCTACTTAATGCTACTGAAATGTACACTAAAAAATGGTTAAGATGATAAATTTTATGCTATGTACATATTACCACAATTTAAAAAATAAAACAAAACACTGGAACCAGGCAGCACTATAACTTAACAAGGGATAGTGAGTTGACTGCTTTCCATTTTCCACAATTCACTGAATAGAAGTTTTATGCAATAAGAAAGAGACTTTCTAATACTGGAAGAAACATGTAAACTATAAAGAGAAAACTTAAATGCTTAAGTTTAGTTCTAGAGGACTATAAATTTAGAGCTGAACTAGTGTATTTACTGATTTCAATACTCATTTCCATTAATAAAGACTAATTTCAATTAATCTGAATCTATGCCAATCAGAGTAATATTTATACCACTTGTTTATGATTATCCTATGTACTCATAGAAAATAAGAATGTATTAAACATGTGCTAACACCCAAAAAGGCTAATATTTTTAAGAGAAAAAACACAGATCAGATATCTTCATTTACCTGCTATTTTGCCTAAAAAGATAGTCAAGCACCATAAAAAGTCCTTTGAGCATTATTTGAGTTGAAGCACTAATAATAGGTACTTCTCTTGCCTCCTCTTTTCCATGAATTGAAAAGACTTTTTCTTCTTTTTGAAGGACAGCAGAAAAATGGCCCTATAAGAAATTACAATATTAAGTATACTGGGGGCGAGGGGAGGGGTGAAGGAGTAAAACACACTTCTCAAACTCCAATGAAACCCAAACGAAGCATATATTGAAATTTTAGGCAAACATTATTACTATACAAGTGCTAACAATATGCTTTAGATTCCCACATATTCCTAAGTTCTCTTCAAATACCTTAAACAAAATTATATATTTAGGAGGTTCATTACCTATTCAGTCAATTAGGGTATTATTTAGTGCCCCTCAAAAGGAATGAACTTCATAAAAATGTGCCTACAAAATGGTTTCTCCAAGGAGCTTAAAAGAGTTGATATGCCACCTAAATGCCTGAATTATTTCCAGAGTATTCTGACGCTTAGAATAATATGACTGCATTACAAGAAAAATTAAATGAATGACTCAAAGCTAATTCTAAAATTCAAAGAGCAGAGTAAGGCCAAGAATAGCTGAGATCATTCCAAAGGGGAAGAGCAAAGTGAGGAGATATGCACTAGCAGATATACCAGCATTTTTCTAACAGTAATTAACACATACAACAGTTTAGATAAAGAGAATCATAAAATAGAGTTCAAAAATAAATTCAGACATGAATGAAAATTAGATATGTGACAGAAATGGCATTACAAATAAAGGGAAATGATGGACAATATATTTCGTAAGTGATGGTGACAAAATTCACTATCCATACAGGAAATCAAAATGGATTCTCTACCTCACGAGATAAAAATGAATCACATACTCATAAAATTTTGCATACAACTTCATAATGTTCAGTGTCCCATAGCCCACTCACAAACTCCATCCAACTAGGTTTATATAATCACTATATTGAGAAAATATGAATTTTTTATCTTTTTATTTTCCAAATTTTAACTTTTACAATTAATAAAATAAATTTACAAACTAAAAATATTGACTTCTTTTATTTTTGAACAAGCAATTAATTCCTTTAAGCCTCATTTCCTTCCAACTAAATAATGCTACTTTTTCATCCATAATTTATGCTATCACACATAAGATTATCAAACTTATATAATAAAAATTTAAAACAAATTGCTTCATTTTTTACCCTAGATAAACTTATTCACTATTAATCATTTTTTTTTTCTTTAAAAAAATTTTTTTAAAAAACATCTCTTTATTGATGTCAGAGAGAGGAAAGAAGGGGGAGAGAGAGAGATAGAAACATCAATGATGAGAGTCATTGATCGGCTCCCTAGCCTGCAACCTGGGCATGTGCCCTGACCAGGAATCAAACCCCGATCTCCTGGATCCTAGGTCAATGCTCAACCGCTGAGCTACACCCAGCCGGGCACTATTAATCATTTCTAATTCACTAAATGAATTTCCAAAGGTGGCAAAAAAATCTTACCTGCAAAATGGGAAAAGTAGCAGTGGTGATTCCCATTTTGTGTAAATTTAAGAGCATTTCACGTCCACTCCATATTTTACAGGATGATTCATAATCCCGTTCCACAAGATGTTCAGAGTTTGCTTCTAACCAACTGGAATAAAATAAAACAATCCAATCAACCAATATCATCTTATGTGCACTACTCTCATAGAACAGAGAATTGAGATATGTTAATCTGTATTCCTTAACACTTTTAAGGCACAAATGTGGGTTAATTAAGACATCTTTTTTAAAGCATGCATATCTCATATTGAGAAATAAACATTTACATAGCTAAAAAGCAAGCTTTTATTCAGAAAAGGAAACCATGAACATGATCTCCCAATTGTGTTTTGTGGATTCAACTGCTTTACCTGTCTCTCCAAAGGAGAGCCATGTCTTAGAAGCTCATCCCAAATGCAGATAAAAGGAAATACAAAACAATCTAATAAAAAAATTAGTTACATATTAACACAAAAAAGAGAGTTACTAGAAAAATATATAAATATATTCATTTATATACACATGTATACATTCAATAAGTGCTTAAATGCCTATTATTATGCCAGACACTATACTAGGTAGTAGAAATATAGCAGTACATAAAATAGGGAAGGCCCTTATTCTCATGGAAATTACATTCTACTAAAGGGGGTAAGAAATAAATTTAGAAACAAAGACATGAACAAGAAAATATCAGGCAGTAATAAGAGGTATAATGAAACTAAATTAGGTTAATGTAATCTAATTGCTACTTCAATTTGAATATCAAGAAGGCTCTCCCTGAGGTTTCATTTATTCTAACAATTGAAGGCAAATGTACCCACCCATGGCAGTATTGAAGGCAACATGTACCCAGTACTGCTATGGTATTGGGTTATGTAATTTAGGGAAAGTACAGAGCTAGAAATAAAATGAGGTCCTAGGATGAGGTCCTGAGGCACTTTGACATTTAGACATCAAACAAAATAAGAACTATCAAAAAAATTGAGAAAGAATAGACTCACATATGCATAAACATGCGCTGAATGCTAAACTTGTGTAAGAGGACAAGAGCTAAGCATATAGGGGATGGGGTGACAAGTAGGTTTTTACAATATAAATTTGCGTATACCTTTTCTGTTCAAACATGTGATTGTATAACTTTCAATTTTTTTAAAAGTATACTGTAAAGTGAACAGAAAAATGCTACGGTAAATGAAATGGAATGTAGAGTGAGGGGAGGTTTTTCTAAAATAAACAGATAAAAAAACCTAATGTCTAATGAAAGAGAAATTATGTAATGTACATTTTATTATTTTTTTTTAATTTTTTAACAGCTTTATTGAAGTATAATTCACATATCATATTTTTAAATTCACCCATTTAAGAATATAATTTAGTGTTTTTCAGTCAATGTATAGGTTTGTGTAAGCATCACTACAATCTAATTTTAGAATATTTCATTTTATTATTTTTTAATCTAACGCAAATTTTTAAAAAAATATATCTTTATTGATTTCAGAGAGAGGAAGGGAGAGGGAGAGAGAGATAGAAACTTCAATGATGAGAGTCACTGATGGGCTGCCTCCTGCACGCCCCCAACTGGGGATCGAGCCCGCAACCCCGGCATGTGCCCTGACCTGGAATCAAATCTCGGTCTCCTGGATCCTAGGTCGATGCTCAACTGCTGAGCCACACCCGGCAGTGCTAATGTAACTTTTAATAAAATTACTACTAAATATATTATTTTACAGTATTGAAATCCTGGTTAATTCAACCAGAATCCTACTCATACTGGAGGATAAAGCGATGAGTTAAAGCTACGATCCAGAATTTTAAGATGTTAATTAAAACCATTAGTTTATGTCCAGCCCAATGTCCTATACACAGTCTATGGGGCTGTTAATTTATCCTGTTAAAGTAGGAATAAGATTTCATAATTATCAATTTAATAAATCAATTCTATTATATTCTTTTGAATAAGACAAAAGTTTGGACTAGCCTACTTTTAAAATTTTAACTGGCAAGGAACAATCCTTTTCCAAAGTAGCCTCGTCAAATTTTACTCACTATAAAATACTCTGGCATAATAAAGTATGTTTTCAATACCAAGGCAACACAAATGACACTGAGAGACAAATGTGCTTACTTAATGAGGCTGCAGCACACAGCTTGTAAGGGCTCATGGTCTTTCTTCCTTATGTTACTGTTGACCATACTATCTAGTTCATCTCGAGCAAACCGAAGCTGAACTTCTGTTATACTGTAACTTGCTGATTCCCGAGCACAGTCCTCAATGTTATGAGCTTCATCTAAAATGACA